AATTGATTATCTCAACAACAAGAAACATGAACATAAAAAAAAGTGGATTTCAAGTTTTTGGAAATAGTATATTTTGTAACTATATTTTTAGACCATCAATTTTAAAGATTTTCATGTTTTCATAGATCTCTCGATCTCCACTATTTTTTAAGCTTTAAACTTTATAAATAAAGATAAAAATATATTTTAAAGCTATCAAAAAGATTTCCACATTTCTCGACACTATTTGAACCTAGGCTCTATTTGATCGCCTGGAGCCCAAGCTCCACACAAACCTCACCCATAATTTAAATGTTCATAGAACCCACTTGTATGACTGATTGTGAAAGAATAAATTAACCTAGCATATAATTAAAAGGAAAAAAAGTTTAATATTAGGTTGCAACCTTAAAATGTAAAATTAAAAGTGCGACTCCAAAATCCATCAAAAAATATTGTTTTAATGTTAAAACCCTTTAATTAATATTCACAACATCGAGAGAGAGGTATGACTATGAATCCTAGATATAATGCATCTTACATCATATTATCTAGACTGTTCATTTTCAAAGTTTTCATATATTTATAGATCTACTTGATTTTAACTATTTTTTAAGTTTAAAATTTTATAATTAGATATAAAAATAAATTTTTAGATAATCATAAAAACGTTTTACACCAAAATTACATGTTACGGTAAAATCTGGAGGTGCACCTTAATTGAATTTAAGGTTTTAACCTTATAAAAACCACACCCTAATCAAAAAAAGGTTTTAACCTTACAGAAAACACACAAAAATAGGTTTTAACCTTATAGAAACCACACCCTAATGTCAAAAAAAAGGATATAGTTTTAAAAGAATTATGTGCCATTCAAATTTTTGAAAACAAAGAAAATTCAAATTTTTGAAAACAAAGAAAAAATGATATTTTTTATACCTTCCCAATTTTTAAATGCCAATTATGATTAAAAATTTCTAAATCAAGCCTCTTGCTCCTTGAAAATATATTTCCTATATATTCCTATGTAATTTGCATTCCTAAGGCATCCAGGTTCCTCAAATGGGGAGATTGCATTCCTAAGGCATCCAGGTTCCTCAAATGGGGAGATTTCTTGGTCTCATCCTGGCTTTTGCCTCGTTTTAGAATAAAATAATAATAATAATAATCTTTAAGGAGAAATTTCATTTTTTTTTCCCAAATCTCCCATAAATACCATGTCCTCTCTCCCCCGCGTAACGCTATCAGGCTCTCTCATCTATCTCGAAACTTTTTTCGAGGGAACAATATGGGCCCTAAAATAAAATTCTATGAACTTTTACAACCAAAACAAAAATTCCAACTTTAAAATATTCCTATGTTTTCAAATTATTAATTTTAATAAAATTTAAATTACTTTATTAGGATCTCAAAATATCACTATCAAATTTTGACTCGTATCTCTAATTATCACATGAGTTGTTAGACTTGGGTTTATGGTTTATTGATAATTTTTTTTTAAAGATTTTTATCAAAATTTAATGGTGATCTTTTAGATAGAAAATCTCGTAGTGTCATTACTTGTATTTTATTATATCAGTTCTAATACTTTGTCTGTCTCAATTTGAATGATGCAAAAATAATAACAAATATTTTAAGTTCACTGGAGTTCAAAATGCATTATTGATTTCTTTTTTTCTTGGAATATTTTGTAATATATTTGTTATTTTCTTCATCACTTTCAATGTTAAGAATCCCAAATCAAAGAAATTGTTACAAAGAAACCCTTTCAAAAACCAAATAACGAAAAAAAATCAAAATATTGGAATGAGAAATCTGAAATGATAATATTGGAATGAGAAATCTGAAATAATAAGAAGGGAAAACCCTTTCAAAAACCAAATAACGAAAAAAATTCAAAATATTGGAATGAGAAATCTGAAATAATAAGGGGGAAGAAATATGCCAGGAGACAGGTAACACGATGACAGAGAAACAAATCATCGTGCTGTTTAATACTGGCTGATTTAACCATCGATCTATGCTTCTCTCTCTACAAACAAAGCCCAGATTGAACTCCGAGGCCGCTCTCTAAAATCTTGAGAAGCAACGCCATCAAAAACTCAAATTTCACAAGATACAGAGAAGAATCTCAAATATGTGCACAGGTAGATCATTAATAGCGACAAGAGAATGGAGCCGCCATTATTGCCGTTGCAAAAGCTCTGCACTGTGCAAAAAGTCGATATATGCTTCATCTGACACATCTCTTGAAAATTAAGAAAATCCAAGGGATGCAACGCCTCGTTGAAGCAAATGTTGGATTCAAATTAAACGAAAACTGAGCAATTCAAGAGAAAAAGGGGAGCATCTATCACTCTTTTTATGAAGAAAAGTGGACACTGATGAGTAAATACGATAAAGAAGAGGAACCCTAAAACTAAAAAGAAAAAAAACCCTAATTCTAGAATATCAGATGGAGAGGAAGAAACTAAACCTCAAGAAGGTTGATGTGCTCAAAAAAACCTGATGAAAACCCTAGCCCGATAAAGAACAAGCCAATAAAACGCTAGACGAGGCAAAACCAAGCCCTTAATCGTGGAAGTGGAGGTCTGATGCGGACTTTTATAGAGGCGTTTTGATTTTATTTTCCTGTTCTTTCTTTTATTTTATTAAAGTTAAAAAACGGCCCGTACCCCCGATCTGCCGGCTAAAGACAGTTGTACCCCTACCTTTTTCAAAAAGGTCAAGGGCTAGAGCCTAAACGGTTGAATCCTTCCGTTCGTCTTACGGATCCAAGGGCTAGGAGGCTTCTGCCTGATGTGACTATTTCTACATTATGGTTCCACAAAAGCCAAAGATTTTTACATTTATGGTTCCACAAAAAAAAAAATTGTCTCAAGAGTGAAAAAAAAATTATCCAATTTTTAAAGGATGAGATCTAAATGTTTAAAACCTTCTTCTTCTTTTTTAATATCATCTAGAGATTTTAAAGTTGATTACCAAAATTTCAGATTGAAAAAAAAAAAAGTTAAGTCATTTAACAGAGGGAGTAGAAGTAAAAGAGAGAATGTGCCTTCTTATAAGTATTACCAAGTTTGTACTGCCACGCGAGAATTAAATTTAGGCTCGAAACAAAGCTTAATGCTTTACTATCGAGAAAACTGATGGGTTCCTAGAGCGGCAAAACTTTAACTTCACCAAAGACCCAATTGAATATTTTAGCAGTTGGACCCAGTGTCTTAAAACTCGGAGGCTTTCAATTAAGATCGCCTATTTGGAAAGGCATCGACCACAATGAACTTATTCAAGGAAGAACTGAGTCCTGAACTGGTCCTTTCTCTATTTTAGGCTAATCCTATATTTTTTTTAAATTCTTCTAAATCCCCACCCATAAACCCTTTATTTTAATTTTTTATTTTATTTTGATTATTTTTTAAGATTTTTTGGATCACCGACTCAGGCCAATCCAAACCAAATGTAGATCACCAATTCAACGATCGGACATGGTTTTGTAGTTAAACAATCCGCCCACTAATCAGGGTTTTGAATCACTAGCACGAGATTCTCATGCTGCCTTCAAGGCATTAAACGGCTCCAACTTGAAAATCCAAGACACAAGTGGGTCACTACGAGTACACCACAGTACACAACTAAGCCTGTGAAGCACTACGTCACTTTCTCCAAACTGTACTCTTTAGAATTCCTCAAAAACACAATCTTTTTACTGATTTGCTCACACGATAAGTAGTAGGGAAGAGCTGCGAATACACGACAATCATGTGGTATCCCGGTACATCTCTGTCCATAGATTCGTGTTACTCGACAGCATAATACGCGAAGTTAAAAAGCCACTAAATATCCGCGTGTAATAATTAAATTCCTAACTTTTAACCTCAATTTAAATGACATTGGGCATTTTATTGACTATTGGATCATTAAAAGTCAAATTTTTACCCTTGGTAGACTTTCAAAATTTCCTTAATCCACCGTTTCGAGACTCAGCCGAAACTACTCAAACTTGGCCGAGTAACTAGGTTTCACCATGAGTTTGCCCCGTGTATACTGTACACGCTTTATTAATATGCTAGATGCAACAATGTGTTAATTTTTAACAAAAAAAGTTCAAGTAGATACAATAGTGTGCCGACCTAACAATGGCGACCCGTATTATATATATAACGTTATCCTCATTTGCTTTGAAGAAAAACAAAGTTTGAGAACCAGAATCGATCACATGACCTCTTGCAAAGAGGCATGTTGGCTCAAGCGGGCTAACCAGCAAGCTGCTCGCCACTTCATTATTAAAAAGGTTTTAACTTGATTTTCTTTAGAAAAGAAAAAAAAACGAGCTGGACACAAGCAAGTTATTTGAACTCACCCTAGTAAATTAATGGCCAAGGGCCGAGTACCTTGGCCGAGTCGTTTTTCTGAATACTGCTTTAATCATGCTTTAATCACAACGGAAACTTTAGTCACTTTTTAAATACTATTAGAGGGAAACCCTTAGCATAGGGTTAAGGGCACATATCTTGATTGCAAACTTTGTACTTCTACATGAGAATGAAATATGGGATGGAAAAAGAGCTTCGTACTGCAATTTCAGAGAAAACCAACAAGTTGCAAAAGGGACAAAACTTGGACTTCACAAAAGATTCAATCCAACATTTGGTTCAACAAATGAACCCAAAGGCACAGGATGCCCTTGCTATTTTCGAGGTATATGACGCCCCTGACTTGGAAAATCTAGGACGCAAGCAGGTTGTGACAACTGACAATAATACCTGAAGTACACTACTAAACCTTGTGAAACACTTACGAGTTGGATGCTCAAGAGAAGTCCTCCAAAACACAATCTCTTTACTGATGGGTTTGATTGATAACTTGGAATCAACTAGAAAAAATATGATAAAAAATTTAGAAGAATTTGGGTTTTCAGTGAACCAGAACCACAAGTTGTCAATCTCAGTTAACTGCTATCAAAACGAGAAAAATGAGAGAACAGATTTCAATCTCAAAATCGGCACTTATCAATAAAAATTTACCTGTATTAAAACATTGGATCCAAGAGATAAGAGTGATGCATGGGTGACACATAGCTTAGCACATGGCAGTGAGGAAAGAAAGATATCCTCAACCGCTTCAAAATGCTAGGTCTCTACCAAAGTCTCCACACCATTCGACGGCCGTGAGAAGTTTCAACTTTTCACTAAACTGTTGAAAGGTTTAAGTTATGGCTTAACCATGGTGAAAACTTCAAGCTAGCAAAAAAAAAACTTGGGCCCAAATCCTTACCAACCACCACAGTCCAAGCTAGCCGGTGAACTGGCCATGGCATCCCAGCCAGGGGGCCATGCAGACGGCTATGTCCGTTGAGCACACAGATCTGAAAGCACATAAAAAGCCCCACCACACATATTTGAAAGCACCCAAAAAGGCTCAAGTATCTCTCTCTTTTAAGCCCCAATAAAGCTAAATAAGTTTCCTGCTCATAAAATCACAGAATTGATTGTTTATAGGCACTGTGAGACTAAACACTCCCTCTTAGCCATACTTCCACTAAACTTTAAAAAATTGCCCAAACAACAAATGAAGTGAAGAGCATATATACTCTGCTCCCATGGGAATATACTATGAACTTACTCCCTCAGGTAGAAGACTAACTTGGATGGTTTCTATTCAATATCGAAGCACGATTTCTTCAAGCCCACAGAGAATACAAATTGGAAATCTTTTTCTTGGGTATAGCATATAGGTTGAAGAGGTTACATCCCCTTCTAGATTGGGTATTTCCAAGAGAGTATATGGACAGTACGCTCCCTCAGGGAATCTTTTAGTCAAAGTGAAAATTTACATAGTTGTTCGCCTTTAAACACTAACACGTTCTTCATTCAATAGATAGCACTGGCCATTCTTTTCAAAATCGGAAGTCAGGATTCCCACGGTTTTTTCAATTTATTTTTTTTATTTTAGTTGTATGAGTACACTGATCCAGAACAGTGAATTACAATTCAGTGCCTCGTGATTCAGGGCACAGACAAAATTTTTAAAACCCTGTTGAAAAGAAATGGGTTTGGCTGAAATAGTAAGAGTTTATGGTGAACAAAAAATTTGTCAAAAAGAAACCATTTCAAATATTAGAAAAGGATAAATATATGTGATCTGAATAATATTTGTATGACATGAAGAGAGCCACTTATTAGCACAAATATCACTAAATTGCATGTGGGAAAACAGCTAAAGGAGCTGATTTCGAACAAATAATTGGCCAAGTGAGGTCAATTTCCAACAAAAGGGCAGGGTTTCCATGAGTTCAATAATCCATTCATGCACATCCTCCGCCTAAAATCTATCTTAAATGTGGATTTTGGATCCAAAATTTTAAGGAATCCATAGTCTATATAGCATGGCATTCATAAATATCAAAAATATAAAAATAAAAATAAAAATTTGGATTATTTTTTTTGGGGAGTTATTTTTGCACCTTATTTTAAATTCTAGTCGGGTACCCTTTTTTTAAGGTCCATCCGATAGATGGATGTTTGATGCTAAGGGGATGGATGCATCCCTTGACTCGTAGAATACTTACACATGCAAAAAAGGCTGGGTCGGCATGGTTTGTTTTTCAAGGACAAACTTCAAAGGTCAAACCTTTAATGTCCCACCAAGGTATGGGTTGTCTACCACTACGCTAAAGCCTGAAGAATACTTAAAATTCCAAATCAAATTCCTTCCCTGCATGCATTGCCATAAGGTGAATGAGGGGTGATTCACTGACATCTTAAAATACATTTCCATGATTATCACCTAACAATGAAGAAAAATGACTTCTAGACAAAATAACAAATAATTTATTCAAAATGATAAACTTCGTTGCAAACATGCACCGTAAAGCCAAACAGGAATATCTTCCTATAAGAGAAAACACTTAAAAATCCAACAGTAACTGTGGCAATATCCTCTCCAAATGAGTAGCTTCAATTTTCTCAATACCCTCAGCTTCAGCAATTATAGCCGCACGCTGCACAGCCTCTAAATAAACAGAAGACTTCAAAATAGATAAATAAAAAGAAAGAAATATAGAGATCCCAACCAAAGAGCTTAGGATTCCAAGTAGAGGGTTAGAGAAGCTCATTTGTTCAAACTTACCTGTCACAAATATTCTTAGAAGTTCACAGCTCAGCTTCAATGCATTCGGCTTAGCTGTGTACTCACAGAAAAATGATATTGAGATTAAACATGGCTATCAGGTTGCATTCTATTGAATCTATTGACCAGCATAAAAGGCAATGATATCTTAAAACAATCGAAAGGGCCAACGAACGCTCTGCTACTCCAAGCATTCCCAAATCCATAAAAATTACTTTCATACTTGGATAGCATGCAGTGTTTCAAAAAGCGCTAGGCACACCTAGGTAGTCACCCAGAACCTGGACGGCCCAATTGAAAGAAAAAAGATAGAATTTTTGTGAATTTTGATATTCTATAACCTATCTATAATCCATATTTTCATACATTCTTAAAACAGTAAAACCATACACGCATACACTGATAGTCAGATACACACAAAAGTTAGATATTAGAAACTAAAAATAAAAAAAAAGAATATTTACAGCTTAGGACACAATAGTTAACACTCAACAGTCAACACCAAGAGTTAAGCACTCAAGCGTCTTCAACTCTTAATTCTTCAGTCATCATCATCATCATCAGAAGGAATAGGGTAAGCCTCATTATATGCATCAGATTCGAGGCCATCATCATCAGAGTCATCTCCCTCCTCAACATAACGCTCGTCCTCCTCTGTTTCTTCTGAATCTACCACTTCCTCATCCTCTTCTTCTACCTCCCTCTTACTATGTGCAGATGAGTCCCTAGGAGTCTTGACTTTTCTATCTTTTTGTGCTTCCCTGATCTCAAATATTGTATAATCTCCTCCCTGGTAGCCTCAAGAACATTTTTATATAGGGCAATATCCCCCTCAATACTGGCAAGGTGTTTTTTGAACCAATAAACACCCCCATTAGTATCATTTCCACAATAATTACATTTACTACGATTTGTCATTCGGATTCAGGTTATAACCATACTTCCAACCCCGGATCACCACTTCTAAAAGAACCTAGAGAAGATATTTCTATAGAACGAGGTTCATTGTTCATCTTTTTCTGGTTCTTCTAAATTCAGAAATTGTCTAATCTCATCTCAAATGGCTTCAAGAACCTTTTTACAAGAAGCAACATTCCCTTTAATACTGACAAGGTGCTTCTTGAATCGATTAATAGCTCTATTGGTATCTTTTTCACACTTTATACAATTTTTATCGTTCGGTTTCGAATTATGACCATACTTTCAAACCCGGTCACTTCTTCTAGTAGAACTAGAAATAGGCATATTCAAATGACAAGGATTTTGTTCTTGTTTTTGTTTTACATAACTCATATATTGCTTAATCTCCTCTTTGATAGCTTCAGGAATATTTTTACAAGGGCCAGCATCCCTCTTAGCACTGGTAAGATGTTTTTTAAACCGGTTTATGTCCCCTTTTGTATCTTTTTCACAATGATTGCATCTTATGCAATTTTTTTCATTCGGATTCGAGTTATAACCATATTTCCAATCTGAATCTCCACTTCGACTAAATCCTGAAGAAGACATCTTAAACTAAAACAAGCAATCTAAAAAATAAAGTTTTGCACTTACTTTGATTGATCGAACTCCAAACTTCCACCTCTGAGATGTTTTCTAGTGTTAAAATATTCAAAAACATCCTCTAATATGATTAAAAAACTTCAAAACTAAATCTAATCTACCTACATGATGTTTGGATCCATTTTCCGTAACTTTGAGAAATACTTCGATCCAATAAAAATCTCAAAATCTAGTGTTTTTGAGGTTTCTCTCTCTCTAAAATGGGTTCTTGTGGGTTTAGGTTTTAAATGAACCTAAAACCCACCCTTAAAAGCTTTTCTTTTTCTAAAAAACTCAATACAACCCTTAAAAAAACTCATTTCCGCCCCTGGACGGGGCGCAGGCCCTGGGTGGCCGCTCAAGGCTGGGCGTTGGGCGCCCGCCTAGGCGGCCATACAGGGGCCACTACCTAGTTTTGCCGCCTAGTCCTGGGCAATGCGCCCAAGCCTTTTGAACCGCCTAGGCGGCCGCCTAAGCGCTAGGAGGTCCGCGTTTTGAAACAATGATAGCATGTGATATAATATTATACTATGTAATACTCTACATTAAAATCTCAAAGGCCCTCAAGAACTAGCATACCTGTAGTAGCACGGCTCTCCTTTGAAGTACCCACCCCTGCCTATGCAATAGAAAAAGAATATTATGCATCTGAGAGCACATCATAAGTTTTCAACAACCAATTGAGATGAAAGTGACATGGAACGAGTTCTGAGGCCAGCTTAAAAACCAAAAGAAGAGTATAAGAATGTGTTGCGCCTCACATCTATGTAAAGAATAATGATCTAGAAGATAAGTGTTCAAAAATTTCTTGTAATTATTCGACTCACAAATATGCATCAATATCGAATAAATTGCATAAGTTTGTGATGCCATGATTAATGATCATTAGACTACGCTTGCGCATGTCAAGGTCTGTCCCTTTTTTGACATACCCTAATGTTAAACCAAATGTCATGCATAATAACAAGATAACTCTGAATTATCTACCCCAGCGACTAACACGGGATATGAGAAATACTTATCCAGAGCTCGATTACCATGAAAATTGATCTTAAAACAATAGTTTAGTGACACTTTTTCACCGGATCTGGAAGAAGAGAACAATGTCACCTGAGAAAAACTCTCTCATGATAATTGACTACAATATGCCCCAGCATGGTTACAGAGGACAAACTATAAGCCATTTACTTTGAAAAAGGATAACAGATTTTCCCTATAACTAAAAGAGACCACAGACATTATTTTTGCAACCTTATGCATCAATGAGTCATTTTTGCCTCTACTGTGGGTCTGAAGTCTCACATATGTATGTTATAATTTGATGAAACCAGAATTTATTGATGCAATTGTGCTTGTCATTATCAAAATATACACCCAAACCAATGTAGTGCGTAAAATGTTTTCAGATCCAGACATCTTGCCAAGGAAACCGAGAAATTGGACCCATACGGCTTGGCTCAACCAAACACTGGAACCTTAAATAAAGATGAAACAGATGGCTTAATTATTCAAAATCAACACTATTTGAACCAGGTTGCTTGCAGATTTAGGTTCCATGTCACACCGTTTGAAAAAACATCCAGCAGATGTATCTTTTTTTTTCTTTTTCTTTTTTTTTTTATCTCCAGCTACTATAAATAAGTAACTAAACCAATGGTTTAAAAAATGGATCGCTGCCCCAGATCAGGCACCCCA